AAACCATAAACCCTAAAACCCTAAGCCCTAAACCTAAATCCTTTTAGGATTGAGGCTTTAGGGTTTATTTTTGCATCCAGGCCTCTTGACAGCCCGAACGCGAATCATACATGCAAAACCCCTCACGGTCACTGCGACCCACCTGCACCGTCGTCCTCTGCATCGTGGGCCACAAGTGGCAGCATGGAGACATAGCCCTTTGCTGAGGGCTTAGGGATTGTTAGGTATGAGTCCAGCCGAAACACTAACTTATGTCCAAGGTTGCTGGGGCAGCAGTAACATGGAGCAAACGGCAACAACTGCAAAAAGCAAAGCCGCAACAGAAGGCCACGGCTACATCATGTAAATACAGGAAGAACGCAAACACTCAACAACTCCCCTTCCAAGACTATTGGACGGGTGGCAGGCAAAACAAACGCAATTTGGACATTGCTTTTCTCTTCGGGGGGATCCAACCCAACCCACCCTCCCCTCAAAAAACGAGAACAACTTGTGAACGGCCAGGTAGGGTCAGGTGTCGAAAACCCTATACCCTATACAACACAAGAAAGCTACGAAAACACCTAAACCCCATACAACACAAGAAAGCAACAAAAACAGGTTGCTAAAACACCAGCACTTGAGAAGCATCACCAAAGATGGAGGGCTTGAGCTCGGGGATGTCTCGATTCGTCGGCCGGGCAATTCCTTGGTTCTTGCTAAGGAGTTGAATTGAAGTGAATTACCATAATAGGGATCTACAGCAAATAATAGGGTTTAGTTATTCTTAATGGTGATTGAATCCTGAATCTTACCATAAAAGGGATCTATGGCAAATTCTAGGGTTTCGTTCTTATGGTAACTTAAACTAAGCTCCTTAACGGAAACCCAGAGTCGGACAGCTGACTCGTCCTCTTCGAACATGCCAATTCCCGTTCCCGACCGCAGGCGCATCGGTTTCTGCTCGTCTGCATCCTCGCCGTCGCTGGAGGAAGACTCAGTTTCACAGTGCCGTACCTCATTGAGTAGAGGAGGCGGGGTGACCGGCACACCGCCACTCTCCGGCTCCTTCAAAGCATCGGGGGTCACAGGCACGCGCTGGCCATCGTCAGAAATACGCGGCGCGGTCTTCTCAGCTTCGGGTGTGGCTTCATATCCCAGGTCGTCGTCGTCGTCGTCGTCCTCATCGTCGTCTTCCTGGTGATGCTGCCGCTGTGTCCTGGGCTTGGTGCACGTCTCCACTGCTACTTTAGGACGGGCTTAACGAAGCTGACTAACGGAGTTGGTAACAACACTGGTGGTCAGCGTGATGTCTGCAAAGATGATCTGGGTAGTGTTGATGCTGGTACCCCTTCTGCCTTTCCAAAAATCCGCTGACAGGTCCTGGTTGCCGCGAGAAACCCTTCCCATCGTAGTCTGGCTTGTTGTTCACGTCAGCATTCATGGCATGACTGCGACATGTCTTTGCTAAAGACCCAAATTCGTCCTATGATCACGCTTGATGCGGCAAGCAAGATACCCATAGGCCCCATAGTAGTTCCTTTTTGGGATTGCCTAATAGGATTCTATTTATGAACCCTAAACCCTAAACCCTCAACTCTAAACCCTAAACCCTAAACCCTAAACCCCAAAAAGGATTTACTATGGGGCCTATGGGTAGTTGACACCCATGGGAGAACTCGCCAAAGAAATCAGACCTCGAGCCCATCCCGTGGAGCAGAACAACATGAACATTTCTAAATCCTTTCGCAATAGGGTTTAGGGTTTAGGGATATAGGGTTTTTGGGGGTTTGGAGTTTAGGGGTTTAGGGTTTAGGGGTTTAGGGCTTAGGGTTTAACCCTAAACCGGCTTAATTCGCGACTTGGGGGCCGTGGACGCGCCCTGCCAAGCAAAGCGCGCATGCAATACTGGCCAGCGATGAAAATCTCTGGATGCAGCAGCCTGGCGCCCTTTTCGCCGAGTCTCCTCCTCTCGTAACACCTGGAGAGATGCTGAGACATGGCTTCATGATACTGTATATTATCGAAAGTAGATTGTACAGTAATGTGTGTATATATATATATATATATACGGGGAGGGAGAGGGAGAGAGGGAGAGAGAGAGAGAGAGGGAGTGGACAGCCCCTGAACCAGCAGCACAACGTGGCTGTCACCAAAGCACTCCTGACATTTGAAGCCTGACCGTCTGACCCTCATCCTAGAAACTTCACAATCAACCTCAGACCCCTTAAGCCCTAAACCCGTTTTAAATCCTAAACTGCGTCCAGGCAGCTACTGCATCTGCCGAAACAACCCGTGGCTAGTCCCGCGCTGTCGAAGAGTGGTGTCGAACATGTAAATCGCAATGCTTCTCCGGTAGGTACGCTGTAAAGCGCAAGGACTACACTATACCTCTGGAGTACTCGGCTTCGCATCATCAACTGCGCCTCATCCGGTAGAAGATCTTGCGAAGAGGCGCGCCGCAGACTTGGCCTTTGCCAACTGCTATTCATCGATTATACGCCCGCAAGTGTGGCGCGTTCGTTCAGGTCCCCGATATAGTACGACGCCCTTATAAGCAAAAGCCAACAACGGGGTCGGGGCATGTAGGGAATGTAGGGGCTTTACAAGGAGTGAAGACTTGTTGGTCGATCCATCAGCTGGGCATCAGAAGACTTCAGACTCGACAGAACCTGGGGTTCTTGGATGCGCTCACTCAGAAAAAAAACTGCTTTCAAGTCAGCCGAACCTAAGTGCGCATTTGTTGGGTCCCTTGTTTAGAGCAACCAATGAACTATGGCCTACGAGGCATTGTAGGGGCCTTAGAACTTAAACACAAGGTTTTGGTGACTGACACGATCATTGGACCTCTCTTCTGTCGTCTGCGACTATACATCCAACCTTATCCCTTTCAGCCCTAAGCCCTAAACCATAGAAGCCCGAAGCACTCAAAATCAAACCCCAAATCCGTCCCAGGGGCAAACCCTTAAACCACAGAAGCCCGAAGAACTAAAAGCTCTAAATCCAACATCCGGCCTAAGCCTTAAGCCATAGAATTCCCGAAATCCGAAACCCTAAGCACTCCAAACCCTAAACACTACCCATAGGCCCCATCGTAGGTCCTTTTTGGGATTACCTAATAGGATTCTATATATGAACCCCAAAAAGGAACTACTTCAGGGACTATGGACTCCAAACCCCGTAAAACTCGAATCCCAGGGGCAAACAATGGTGTTGGTGACGGCGCGATGGGTGTCGCGTGGGTCCTGCCAGGCATCTTCCGGGTTGTAGGAGTACCTCGAAATGCTTTGGGTGTTGGAGTTTTGGGGTTTAGGGGTTTTGGGTTTAAGGTTTAGGGTTTAGGGATTTAGGGTTTTGGGGTTTTGGGGTTTAAGGTTTAGGTTTTCGGGTTTTCGTAGGGCTCCTATAGTTTAGAGGGCTCAAGGCTTAAATAGCTTGGGGCTTATAGGGTTTCGGGCTTGGGGTATAGAACCCTGTTGTATGAGTGACTCGAAGTACTTCTTCTTAGAGTTTTGTATTGTATGACGACGAGTCGGTTTAGGGTTAAGGGGAAGTGCTTCTTCTTAGGGTTTTGTATGACTTATAGGGCTTGAGGCTTTTAGGGTTTAGTGTTGTAGGGCTTGGGGTTCATAGGGGACCGGGTTTATGTGGTTTAGGGTTTTGGGGGGTAGTGTTAAAATGGGCACCTGTCAGAATTATTTTCCTGGGTAACCCTACCTAATTCGACTCTTAGTACGGCACCTGTAGTTTGGGAACCCAAACGAAACCCAAATTTGGACAACCACCCAGATGATTTAGGGCTGACAATGCTTATAGGGTTTAGGATTTGGGGGTAAGGGTTTAGGGCTGATAGGGTTTAGG